CAACCTTCCTGGTGGGCTGGCATGGGCTTGAGGCAGGGAAAAACACTGGCAGTGCCAATGCAAAAATGCAGTTGACTGAAAATTGGGGAACATGAAGCACTGCTTTTTCTCTCTGGAGGAAACAGTAAATGCCCTGGAGCCCTCTGGGTGGGATGCACTGGACCACACGCTGTCCTGCCGGCAGCACCGCCTGCAGTCCGGCCGGTGGGTCCCGGGTCTGCCTTTCTCCTCGGGCACAGCTGGGGATGAGGGCAGAGGGGATTTTTTACTTGGAGTGATGAAGGCTGGGAGGTCGGAGCGCTGGGCTTTTCTGTACATGTCTCACTGCCGTCAGTCAGGAAGCGGTGACGCAGGTTATGGGTTGGGTTTGGGGTTTTGGAAACCTTTTCTAAAAGTCGATCTCCTCGCTCTGCCGTATTTCTGAAGTGTGAAGCAGTGGTGGAGGCTGGTTGTGAGCAGAGGGATGCCAGCCAAAATGCAGCTCCTTATCAGATGTAACGGGAGGATTTTCCTGGCTATTTGTTTAATCCTCTTTGTGGGATACACAGCACAAGGTAAAACGGGGCGGTTGTTCTCTCCCTAATCCTCTTTCTGGGCTATGCAGTGTAGGCCAAGCAGGCAGTCTCTGAATTTTTCAAACTGGCCTTCTTCTGGGGGTAATGAGATGTACTCAGAAAATCTGTTTTGCTAATATTTAATTTTCTGGAGGGAGAATGGTAAGAAAAGGTGCTTTTTGCAAGTGGAGCATTTCAATGTTGTAGCCCTTATGAGAAAAGACTTCATAAAGTATGTTGCTAGATATGTGTGTATTTTCAGTCTATATATTTCAATATGCATTTTTCTAAATGTCCCTTTCACAATTGTCTGGTTACTGCTGTTACTCAGTCATGTAGCTACAGACAAAGTATGTAACAGTTCCCGTGTCATAACTCTGCTTTCTGGGGGGAGCGGGAAAGGAAACTTAGCTGTCAGTATGAGGAAACTAAACGGTTTATTTGCTACAATATTGCAACACACAGCACTAAAACTACCAAAAGGAAATGTTGATTTATGATGACATGTGCCCCGTGGATTTATTTCTTGTGAGAGAGAATGCTTTTCAAGCATATAGAGTGTAATTTCTCCATAAACAAAGGCTGTGACAGTGATAGGCTCTCATGTATTACTGCTTGGAGGTTGATCTTTGAGGGACTATGGCCTGCTTTTCTGAAGTTGTTTATTTGCAAATTTTTTAGCTGCAGCTGTTCATTGTGTTGCCACTGTTATTATAAAAAATCTCCTTAATAATATGCTAGGAGGAGAAAATAAGTATGAAAAAGGAACACGCTGTAAAAGCAGCAGGAAATTACACCCGTGAAATATTTTTTCTCTTACAGAACAGTGTAGGAGGTAGCTGAAAGTCATGCAGGACATTATGGAAATATATAGGGCAGTAGAAAAGTGTAATTACAGAGAAATGACAGTATTACAGAAACTGAGAGAAAAATAGATAAAGTGCCAACAGGTGGAGAGTGCACCAGGAGGCTTCAGGGAAAATTAATTACATGAGACTGAGGGGAAGGACAAAACGCCACTGTTTTTATCTTTATTGTGTGATCCTTATTTTAGCTTTTTGGTATTTTTTGAAGACCCACATTTCAGTGACAGCCTGAATTAGGCACCTGGGGAGCACCAGAGCTAAAATGGTGGGTTAACAAAACCCCGTCGTGTCTAGAAGAAACTCAAACTGTCTCTCCTCTGGACACATACTCTGAGAGTCTACATAAACCCCAGATCTGCTCCTGGGGCACACCTCGAGTTTCCAACCTCCCCACCAAAACTCAACCCACTGAACCCCAAGGGGCAGAGCTGGAGCCAACAGAGGCAGGGAGAGCACACGAGCCAGCTCTCCGCGGGGTGCTGTGTCCCCAGAGACTTGCACATTATTTTCACATACCTCCACCAGCTTCAAGGAGAGCTGCAGGCAGCCAAACCCACAGATCCCTCTGCCATGTCCCGAGCTGGGGATGAGCCTTGCTGTGATGGCAGTGGTTTCCCACAGGATCTTTTCACACACTTCCTGGTGCTGTGTGCGAGACATGCGTGATGTCTCTGATGGTCGCAAAGATGTCACTTAGGATATCAGTAGCCATTTTAAGAAAAGTCTTCAGAGTTACTTCAGTTTTCCGTGGTTAAGCAATCAAGGCCACACAAGTTACTTTCCTCCACTGCTTTAAGCTTTACTAGGTGCTCATAAAGTTAATAGGAGGTGGTGAATAACGCCCCGGTCCTGGTGAATAACGCATGGCTGATTCCATCAGGTGCTCCGATGCAGAGGGCGAGGTACAAGAGGGTGAGGTGCCGCCCTGACGCATGGTCCGCCAACTGCATCGAGGAGAAGGGGCCCTGGTTTTACCTGCCCACTGGTGGAGCCAACAGGATCCTTCCTCCCATGGCAGACCCGTCCCTGTAAGTTCATTTGACACGCATTTGTCATTAAAGACAGCACCCAAACACGCCCATTAGTCCTGCCTTGACAGTCCTGTCACAGCGTGGCTCGCCCACGGTAGCGTGAGGCTTCGGTATGTTCATGTAAGATGTAAAAATGCCTCTCTGCATTTCAGGATGAGGCAATACCAGGAGCTGGATGACATATTCCCTCTCTCAGACGAGGATTCCGGCTCCGGGTCCAACGCCATGGTGGGAGCAGAACCAGCCTCTGGGTCGGGGCTCGGTGACAGTGACAGCTTCTCCGAGGCGAAGCTGCCCGCCTTCCTGGAGGGCCTGCGGAGCACCAAGCTGAAGGAGAAGCTGTCGGAGGAGGATTTGTTCCTGTAGGGCTGGAGACGCCCCTCATGTGCTGCTTCCTCGCTGAGTCCTCCCCAGAGCCTGACCCGATGGCCATGAAGTGGTTTTAAACCAACTCCACATCAATAAAAACCTTGCCTTAAGATCTTTACTGCTTGCACTCACTGAAAACGTTGTTGTTCAGTCTGAACTGTTTTTTAATGTGTGTGTGTGTGGGAGGGGCAGCCATCCCCGTGTGGGGAAACAACAGCAATGGGGGCACAGCCTGCTCTGTGGGGAGGTCATCGTGCTCTGTGGGGACAAATTCCAACTCTCTGCACTTTTATCGCACTCAGCTAATCGCGTATCCCGTAACCCCCCCCTCACGAAATTCTGCGCAAAACAGGTTTGTCAGAACGCTTATTTCCTGAGGGCCCCCCCGCGCTGCCGCCTCCGGCCGCCAGGCGGCGCCTTCCCCTCGCGGGCACGGAGCGGGGAGGGGCCGGGGGCTCGGTCACGTGCGGTGGGGCGTGGCCTCGGCGGGGGTGTGGGCGTGGCCTTGGCGGGCCGTGAGGTCACATGACCAGGGGCGCGCGGCCGGGGGCGCTGGTGCTGGTGCGCGCGGCAGCCGGGCCGCGGAGGGGGCGCGTACCATGGTGAGTGCGGGGGGGAGGGGGGCGTACCATGGTGAGTATGTGTGTGGGGGAGCTGGGCCGCGTACCACGGTGAGTCCGGGCGGGCCGGGGGCGCGGGGGGCCGCGTACCATGATGAGTGCGGGGGCCGGGCCGCGTAGCACGGTGATTGCGGGAGGGCTGGGCCGCGTAGCATGGTGATTGCAGGAGGGCCGGGCCCGGGGGCGCGGAGGGGAGCGGGGGAGCCGCGGAGGGGCGCGTACCATGGTGAGTGCGGGGGGGCGCGTACCACGGGGAGCGAGGGGCGGGGGGGGCAGCGCCGCTCCGCCATCGCCTGAGGCGGCGGCGGCCTGGGCAGGGCGGTGCCTGCCGCTCCCCGTCCGTCCTTCGAAAGGCGAGGGCTTGGGGGCTTATTACTGCGTACAGGTTAGAGGTGCCCGGTGCCCTCGGCGGTGTGGAGAAGGGCCGGGAAAGGCGCGTGGATAGTCCCCGGACGCGGGTGGATCCCTCGGGATCGCGCCGTCCAGGAAGGGCGGCCGCGCTGTGCCCGGCGGGAGCGATGGGCGTGCTCCGAGGGCTGTTTCAACGGGGAGTAAGAAAATACGTGTCGTAAAGAGTCCTTGGATCGACGCGCTGCGTGTTTCTCGTGTGTTTGTGTTCCCCTACGCGTCTCTTGCCCTGCTGGGGGGACAGAAGCCGCTCGGGGCTGGGGTGAAGGTGAGGTTGGGGTTTCTGCACCCTGTGCCAGCTGCCGGAGGCCCCCAGGCCCTTCAGGACAGCTCTCACTCGCACTTAGGACTCAGTGCTGTGGGGTTTTGGCCCCGATGTAGCAGCATTTTCAACCTCTGTCTTCTGCATAAACCCAAGAGCACAGCCAGGCGTCCGAACTGGAGTTTCTGAAAACCCCAGTTCTCCGTCTGCATTCTCCGAAGCTGTAACATAATAAGCTGCATGGTGGCCTCTTAAAATACTTCTTCTTTTGCATAGTTTCCCTGCAGTGGTATCTTCGACAGCAACTGGGGGAGATACCAGCTGTTGATTTCTTTGTGCTCCTGTCCTCCCCAGAGGAGATCAGAGCTAATCTCGAACAGGGGCAGTTGAAATGCAGCCTCCTGAGAAGTGATGGTGTTCTGGCTGTTAAATGATGGTACAGCTTCAGAGTTGGAAGGTACCGTGACAGCATTGTGTTGTTGGCTTAGAGGTGGTGTGCTCTATTGTTTAGTTTCAGGGAAATAAGTATGGTTTCTAAGGAAAAAATGTGGGCATGCTCAAAACCATTTTGTGTTTAAAAGAGTTTAAAATTTGGAGTTCTTTTACCCTTCCCCAGAAGCCAAAAATCAGTATTGGTTCTAATGTGCAGTGTTTAAAAAAAAAAAAATTATTTTTTTGGCAGTTAGTGCAAACCTGTGCTTGGCAGAGACTTAGAAGACAGTTCAGTCTTACATCTGACCACCTTGTTGGTCCTCTGCTGCTGCTTCCCCTCAGAATGGGAACTGGACATGGCTGGGTTTCAGTTAGTTATATACATCTTTGGGGATTGAGTTAGGGCCATTTGCTGTCTGAACAAAGTTTAGTCTTGTGTGGGTGCTGTAGCTCCAGCTTGCACTGTGTCTCTGCTTGGCTTGGAGGTGTAAGCACAAAGTCACTCAGTGTTCCTGCTGCTGAGCAGTGTCATTCAGACCAAACTTTCCTCTGGGCTTGTGCAACATTTCAAACCTCAGGTCCCCAGAATGTCTTGGAATGTGTTCTTACTCAGTGTTTTATGTGAAGTTGGTGAAGTGAGAAAGAGTGACTGTTGTGGTTTAACCCCAAGTGGGAGCTAAGAACTGGGCAGCTGCTCCCTCACCTCCCACCCCACTGGGATGGGGAGGAGAAGCAGAAGTAAAACTTGTAGGTTCAGATAAGAGCAGTTTAATAATTGAAACACAGGAAAATATTATCATAATTAATAATAAAAAGAAAAACAAGTGATGCACAATACAGTTGCTCACCACCCGCTGCCCGATGCCAGACCCTGATCGTTCCCTTCTGCGTAACTCTCCCAGTTTGTGTGCTGGGCAGGACATTCTAAGATGTGGAATATCCCTTTGGCCAGTTTGGATCACCTGTCTATGCTCCCCTCCACCTTTTTTGTGCACCTCCTGACTGGCAGAGCATGAGACACAAAAAAATCCTTGACTTGGGATAAACCCAGCTCCACAAGAACTGAAACATCAGTGTGTTATCAACGTTGTTCTCATACTGAATCCACAACACAGCACTGTGCCAGCTACTGGGAACAAATTAACTCTAGAAGAAATTATTTCTAGAAGAAATGAACTCCAGCTGAAACCAGGACAGGCTGTTTCATGTATACCAAATTCATCTAGCTGAAACAGATGTTCCCGTGGAGAACATAGTGTAATTTCTCAAAAAAAAAGCCCAAATCACTGTGAATTAGTGAAGTGTTGTCTGCTTTGGTACATCAGAGCAGATTAGTGCCTAATTCTTAGGAGGAAAGTGTTGGCTTTTGTACTAATCTTGCTGAGTTTCCCATGGAGGCACTAAGATGTTTTGGAGCCCATTGTGAGAAGTGTTTGTGCGAGGTCAAAGGATGATCTCTCGCAGGGTCTGGTGTTTGGTGCAGTCAAAGCTGGAGCCTGGGGAATGCTGTGGTGAGCTGAGCACAAACATTGTGCCTGGAGCAGTGTTACAGGTACACCTGGAACACCCCTCTGTCTGCTGGCACAGCTCTTGTAGCTGTTACAGGTACACCTGGAACACCCCTCTGTCTGCTGGCACAGCTCTTGTAGCTGTTACAGGTACACCTGGAACACCCCTCTGTCTGCTGGCACAGCTCTTGTAGCTGTTACAGGTACACCTGGAACACCCCTCTGTCTGCTGGCACAGCTCTGTAGCTGAGGTGGTTCTATGAAGAACTGCTGCCTCTCCAAGCTGCTCGGGCTCTGTTTGTTAAGAGAACTGGGGGGTGTAGGCAGAGGCAGCAAATAAAGTCTCTATTCCCCTTCTCCAACCAGGGGGATGCTTTAGGCCTTGCACGATACCCCCTTTTGTTCTTTTCACCCTACTTTGCTTTAGTATGTTTTTTTTTTGAGGTGTAGTAACTGCACTGTGTACTTTTTATAAACGGTGTATTTTGTAAGAGCTCTCATTGGTTGTTACTGACATGATTTCAGTTATTTGCTGGATCAACAACTGTCCTTTGTCATCACTACTTCTTGGGTCTCCGATACATAATGGGTTTGTAACCTCATGGAAGCACAAATGCTTTTCCCCAGTGTACGGTGCACAGCTGCAAGGAAACATCACCTTTAAATTGGAGTGTCCACCGTGTAGTAACTTATCCAATTCTTGTCCTTCCAGAGTTTTCTTGGAAACCTTTTCGTTCCTGTTTGTGAGATTGACGTTGTCCTTAATGATGCTGAAACACGAAAACCAGCAGAAATCAAAACAGAAGATGGTAAAGTAGAAAAGCACTTTCTCTTCTATGATGGAGAATCTGTTTCAGGAAAGGTAAATTTTTATTTAGATGCAACTGTTAATTACTGATTCTGGCATGCAGATGCATATAGGAGGGCTATGGGATCTGCATTTTCAGCTTGTGGTGTTAGTCAAAGAGGAAACTGTTTTGCTATATGTGATCTCCTTAGCCACATCATCCAGGCAGCTGATAAAACTGAACAGTAGCTGTTTATTTGATTCCACTCATCCTGTATTTATGAAAAAGCTTTTTGTGCAAAGATGTGCAATCCTGTCATTGCTTCTGATGAGAAAACTCTTCCAAAGTGTATCCCCCTGCTTCCCCTTCCCCTTGAACTCCAAAATCCACAATCCAACACAGGTAACAGTAATCTTTGGCTGGCACAGTCAACCTGCTTTGCATACCCCGAAGATAACCCCGTGCTTCGTGCCCTGAAGTGGTTTCTGGAATTGCATCAGAGGAGGAACATAGGAAGTTCAACTGGCTGCTGAATCAACAAGGGCTTTTCTTACTGGAAAAAAAAGACCACGAAGTTGAGATTGCCAGAGGGATTTCTCTACATTCAGTGTTGCACTTAGGAACTCCTCGTTCTGTTTCACTGGAGGCATCCTCAGTCTCTGAACATTTCCGTTCTGATGCACTTTCCCACCAAAAAACTTGTGCTGGGTACTGGGTTCTGAGATTGACTTGTAAATGCCTGCTTTGACCTTGGCTGGCCTGTTGTCACTGGGCATCTTCCTGCTCTGGAGATACCGTTCCATGCAAAGATCTTCCATGAGAGATCCTTCCAGGGATGTGAAACTTGCACAAGATGGGCCCCAAACTCCGAAGGCTGAGGGAGAAGCTTCTGATCGCTGTCTGGAGCACTGCTTGCTTGTGCTGGTGATGCCTGAGAGGCACCTCGTGAGTTTTCACTGACACAAGCACAGTGGGATGAGGAGATCTGGAACACCAATCACTTATTGGACTGCTTCCCTCTACCTTCTCTTTCTTTTCACCACAAAGATGGATTATTCAGTGGTTTATTTCCTGCTCAGATATTGACAAGGTACTGGATTTTAAAGTACAGGAATTTCTCTGGTCATCACCGTTCACACAAGAAAACATCATATATGTTTAAATACCTACAGGTTTCAAAAGAAAGTATTCCCTTGCAGAATTTTTTCTTGTCTGTTTCTGAGAATCAAAGTTACAAATGAAGGCCTTCACAGAAGGTTTCATTATCTGTTCTTTTTAATTGACTTCTCCAGTGCCAATATTTAGCTGCAATCTGCTGAGGGAGGGACTGAAGCTCTCTTGACTTGAAAGGAATGCATCTCATGGCAGTTCTTTTTTGGACTTCCAAATGTGACCGTCAGAAGATGCTTTGAAGCTCTCGGCCTTCAAAGATGGCAAGAGGATCACAACTGGCTTATGTGAACTCTGCTTAAGCTCCAGCTTGGATTCTTAATTTTGGGACTTGAAAGTTTCAAGCTTAGTTATTCAGTTCAGTCTCGTGGATGATTAGATTTTTTCTTGAATGCTTTAGTGGTGCCTTGGAAATGCTTCATTTTATAATCAGCTGTTTGATTGGCTGCCTTCAAGCTCAGGGAGGGCCATTGAGAAGAGGTCTTGATTTTCATAGGCATGTACTAATATGTTTTCCTTCTTAATGAGGTCATGTATTAGAGTGAAAGTGTTGAAAAAATATAACTTCTTTTTTTTTTTACCTTGGTAGGTGAACGTCTCCCTTAAGCATGGGAAGAGATTAGAGCACCAAGGAATTAGAATTGAATTTGTAGGACAAATTGGTGAGTTTAAGCTATAAAGGGGCTGTTTGGGGTTGTGGCTTACGGAACTTGGCACTTGTGACTGCCAGCAGTTTGGCTGAAACAGTGCAACCTGGTTGGAGTAGTGGATGAGAAATGCCAAAGGAAGGTTATATCCTCCATGTTTTAAAGCAAGTGATTACTAGTTTTTGCTAGTCAGAAAGTCATTGGGAGAGAGATATATATGTGAAAGAGAATGGTGTATATTCAATCTGTCTCAGACTAGTTAAAAGTTTGATAAATAACCACCAGAGATTTCTGAAAACTAAATTTGTGGTCTTCTTAAGTGTGCCTCTGACAGAGAAGAGGCATAAAGAATAAGTGATGGGGCAGCCTACAGCGAAAATGTTAAAATTCTATGGTACTTGGTTCTCTAAAACCTAGTTTTATACTATTAACACAGACCATGATTGTTGCTTTGGAGTTTTTCCCTGCTTTTTAGCGAGATAATGTGGTATTGACATTAAAAAATGTGAATTGCTTATGACTGCACCTAAGTCTGCTTAGATTTGAACTATGAGGAATCTTTATTATATCTATCTTCTTACCAGTCAAGGTAATCTCTCTGCACCCTTAGGCTGATGCTAAAATTCCTTCCCTCTTAGAGGGCTGTTTGCATTATGGTCCCTCTTGGAAATAATTCTTCAAGTTGCAGCCTTGTACAATTGGTTTGCTTGGAATTGCACAAGTTCTCTCTCCCCGATCAGTCAGTCTGCTCCAGTACCTGGTCTGAACTGTTGTGGAGCAGATGTGACTGAGTACTGGCACCTGCTGCTTTATGCTTTGAGGTTTTGGTCAGGGGGCTGTAAAAGCAAACTTTCAGAGTAAAGCAGGAGTGTGATGGGAATGAGGAATTTGGAGATGGGGGGGAAAAAAAAGAGCTCATGTGTGTCAGCTTCATTTAGTCTGTTGGAATAGCTGTACAGATTGTTTTTCATCTACTCTGATATATAAATTCCATAAATAACTTTATTTGATGTAGCGTTTCTTGAATGTTGTGTGTTTCTGGGCCTTTGTGTTGTGCTACCATTTAGAAGTCCATGGAGTTACGTAGAAGTGGTTTAAGCTCCTGCTTTTTGTACCTGTCCATGTTTTCTTGCATCCTTCCAAGTTTTCATGTAGTAATGCAGAAAGCAATGCAGTAGTGGGATCTCTGCACTATTTGGAGACTAACTCCATGTCAAAGACTTATTACTCTAAACCAGCTCTCCAGAGTACAGCTTTCCTGACTGGCATAAAAGGTATTGGATATGCAGCAATAAATAAACTCTGTATTAGATAAATGCTTGTCATAGCAAACCAGGTACACCTTAGATAATTTGTGGCCCTATTAGAAAGTAAGCAGGTACTAGTTAGTGTTACTTTCTACCAAACTGTCTGTGATAAACTGTGGAGTTGGTGTGTTTAGTTCATTTATTCTTTTCTGAAAAGCTTCAGTCTGTGTAAAACCAGCTACCACTGATGTTCAGTTTTGAATTGTAGAGAAGCTTATTTTTAGGTTCTGAAGTGCTTGGGTTTGGATTTTGAGGGTAATTTTAATGGTAATTCTCGGTGAGAATTGCCTGACACAGATGTAGGGATGGGTAGGTGGCACTGCTCTGGGGACAGGAGACGCTGTTGCTGTGACACTGCTCTGTCTGCACTTATGTCTTTAGAGCTCATTTCCAGATGACTGACTTCCAGCAGGGGTCATAAAAAAGCCATTTGATTGTAGACTGGTAGTAACAATAAACCATTTGATAGGTGGTGTTAATCTGGAGGAGACTGGTTAGGATCGCTGGCCTGTCCAAAATGAGCCAGCCTTGACATTGCTTAGGTTTTGTCCCTGCAGCAATAAATGCTGGGAGCCAAAACCGGGCACTGGCAATTACAGAGAGTGCAAGGCAAGAAGTGCTTATTAAAGCTAGCTAAACTGTCATTAAAAAACAATGCCATGCTAGTGAAGCTTTGAATGGGTTCTATTCATTGCAGTTAGCTCTTTAGGAATGCTCTCTGTGGGTTGTTAGAACTGAAGGTAATACGAAAACCTGGACAAAACATTGGGTCAAATACGCGTATTTTAAATTAATTGCTTCTATTGTACTCTCACATGCTCCTGCCAAATTAGAGATGGTTTTGATTGCTAAAAATAAACACTGAAACATGTTTTCCTTTAACTTCCTAACTTTAGAACTCTTCAACGACAAAAGCAATACCCATGAATTTGTAAACTTAGTGAAAGAACTGGCCTTACCTGGAGAACTGACCCAAAGCAGAAACTATGACTTTGAATTCATGCAGGTTGAAAAGCCATATGAATCCTACATTGGTGCCAATGTCAGACTGAGGTTTGTAACTGTTAAACCTTCTTTCCTCTCCTCCCCTGCAGAAAATCCATAATTTAGCAATTATGCTGCCTCCCCTTCCTCCTTTTGGTTATTCAGTGGGACATGTATCAGCCAGTAACTAGTGTGCCTTGATTGGAGTCGTTGTTAAAATGTGGCCTTTTCTACTTAATTTGGTGATGTTTGTATAAATAAAATTCTTTCAGTTCAGTCAAGTGAAGACAGTCCATGTCTCTCCTTTTAAAAAACCAAGCTACACACAACTGAAGAAAACACTTCCACATTTCTACCTATGAGTGCTTAGCCTTGTATTTTGATGTCTTACTCTTTTCTACTTAGTCTTATGAGAAAGTACGGTGGTCTTTCAGAGAATACCTGTACCTCAGGTAATTCTAAATCATGTTGGGTAACTCAGTGCCTTTCTTTCAGGTATTTTCTAAAAGTGACAATCGTGAGGCGGCTGTCAGACTTGGTGAAGGAATACGATCTCATTGTCCACCAGCTCGCTACCTACCCAGATGTAAACAACTCCATCAAGATGGAAGTGGGCATCGAGGACTGTCTCCATATAGAGTTTGAATACAACAAGTCAAAGTAAGTGTCAGCCCAAAACACATTCCAGTGGATAACCTGGGATAAAAGGGCACAGTGTGTAATATTGGATGAACAGCCTTGGCTTCTGGAGGCTTAAAATGTGAAGTGCTGATTACACAATTACAGCCTTTGCTGAGAAATACTTGTCTGTTCTGCCTGCAGTACTGACAGGAAGGTCACTAGCAAATATTTGAGGCTTGATTTTTGCATTTGTGCCTTTTCAGTCTGACTGTAGCACCTCCTTTGCTAATAGTGCAGCGATGAGAATTCTCTAGTGGTGCTGATCTCAGCAGGGAAGTAAGCTAACAGGCAGATAACACAGCTTCCTGTGTAACTTGGATTCAAGGAGGTGTGAGAGTTGCGTTTGGTCTTTAACGAAAACCTTCATTCTGTTCTTTTAAAGGTATCACTTAAAGGATGTGATCGTTGGAAAAATTTATTTCCTCTTAGTGAGAATAAAAATTCAGCACATGGAGTTGCAGCTGATCAAAAAGGAGATCACTGGAATTGGTAAGAGAAACGAAACGGCAGCTCATGTGCCAGTCGAGCCTGATGCAGACCTGGAGAGCAAAGTCAGCAGTTGCAGCTTTGGCTCAAGCACTTCCTTCTGTCTGGGGTTTGACTACCATGAGCCTGTTGTGCTTTGACAAGGGTACTTAGCAGTGTGCTTGCTTTGGCCACGTGTAACTCACGTGCAAGACAAAGGCAAAGCAGCAGTGATGTGTTAATTGAAATGCTTCGGAGTGGCAGCTGTGTGATAAAGCTTTGTGAATGCTTGAGACTGGACTGTGTTCTCACAGTCAAAACTTGTTTCACCAGGACCCAGCACTACGACAGAGACTGAAACCATTGCAAAGTATGAAATAATGGATGGTGCACCAGTTAAAGGTAAGTAACTCTGCTTGTTTTAAAGGGCAAGAGTTTGGTGTTTAAAACTGTATTTAAAACATCCAGGGGAGAAGAGATGGCTTAGATGATTATTTTTTTCTGCAGAAACCACACTTCTTAGGTTGCTGAAATGATGGTGGATTTTTCTATTCAAATAAGACATTTATATTGACTTAGGGCATTTCACTTGGGATCTCAGTAGTTTTTACCCTTATTTACCATTGGAAATTCTGTGACTGATCCTTCAATCAAACCTGACTCCGTGGTGTAGGCCAGCTCTAGAGATTTCAGCATACTGATCCTTTTGCCTTTCCTGGCTACCTTGCTTGCAGTGAGGAAGGATTCCTACTTTTCATGTCGTACTTACCTCTGTGCTCAGCATTATGTTTGTAATTTTCTTTTGTTTGTTTTGGTTGGTTTGTGGTGGTTTTTTGTTTGTTTTAGCAGGGCATTGTGTAATTTGTTTTCTTTAAACAACTGAAGGGGCACAGACAGTGCTTGTGAAATTGCGTTTAATTCCAAGTTTTCTGAAACTGTTAATTTTTCCATTTTTAAGGAACTAATTGAAGGTTGTTTTTTTTTTTTAAGGTGAATCAATTCCTATAAGACTGTTCTTAGCAGGCTACGACCCAACTCCAACAATGAGGGATGTGAACAAAAAATTTTCCGTGAGGTACTTCTTAAATCTGGTGCTTGTGGATGAAGAAGACAGACGATACTTCAAACAGCAGGTATGATCTGTAGCAATCTCGTTGCAGAATTATCTGGGCTGTTGCACAAAACAATCTAGGGGTAAAATGAGCTAGAGGTGCATTGGTTTGCTTGTTTTCTTAAACTGCTGCAGAGAGAGTTCTCCTTTCAGCATTAGGTTCAGATTGGCAAAACTGTAATAAGGGCTAAGAAATTTGGCTGCAAATGTTACAAAAGATGAGGTGATGCTGAGAAAAGGAACAGCCAAAAGGATCACTGGAATGAAGCTGTGTGGGTTATACCAAATCTTCCTCTTAAAGAGTAGGCAAGGCATTACAATTAGACATGGAAAATAAGAGGTAGCTGGAGCATACAGTGGCTATGATGGCTTTGAATTTTGAGAAAAGGAGGAAGAAAAATTTCTTGAACCCCTTAATACTATTGAAGTTGGGAGTAGGGATAGTTAAGGAAGAGGTGACTGCTCAAGATTGCAAGTGTTCAGGCAGTAACTAAACAGGCAACCTTCACTGTGTTGTTTTTCTGTTACTTTCATATGAACTGCACTGTTAAGCAGGGGGGTTGCAGAGCTTTTTGTGGGGTGTTGTCTTTGGTTCTTTATTTTTATTTTCCCAAAAAGTATTTGTTTATCAGGAATTTAAGGTACTTGTGGCTGCTGCCTTAATGGTGAGTGGTGGTTTCAAGAGTGTTTTCTTCCTCAAATAGGAAATCATTTTATGGAGAAAAGCTCCAGAGAAGCTGAGGAAACAACGAACAAACTTCCACCAGCGATTTGAATCTCCAGAGTCACAAGCATCTGCTGAGCAACCCGAAATGTGAACTGGTCTAAGGTGAAAAACTTTGCAATGCTTCAGCAGGTTAAAGATGGCAGCAGCCTGTGGGAAAAGAAGGCCAAAATTCCCATTTACAACTGTCTTCCTTCATCTTACAGTGCTGCGTTTCCCATACTACTAAAGCATTCTTCAGTTAAATTTCAAGTATGTATATACATTTAAAATAAAGTGCTTTCTCAAACACTGGAACTTTCTTAAGCTACTATTTTATACTGCACATTTACTTTAATTTGATAATGTTATATGCACTTGGATATGTGTCAGCTTAAATCTAGTTGTTTCCATGCATGGTAGGCTGGTGTATTTGATTTTTGCTGCTCACCTCTACAGTGTAGACTAAAGCATTTCCCTTCTCTCATGTTGTTTATTGCATGTTTCTTTCCAATGTTGCTTATTTGCATTTGTTTTATTTTGAAACTGCAGTAAGACACAATTGACTAAATCACACTAAAACTTAATGTTTACGGTGAATTTGTCCTAAGACTCCTAATTACTACAGTGGAGAGGGTTTAACTGAAGCTGCATGTACACGACTGTGATAACTGTGGAGCCTTCAGACACCTCACCAAGGGTTCTAAGAGGCTTTGAATCTGTCAGTAGTAAAGAATAGAAACATCTTTGCCCTTCCTCCCCCAGTTCTCTCTTTACCAAACTTCTCTAAGCCTTTCACGGGAGTCAATCCCGACTCCTCGGGGCTCATTTCCCAGTAATTCGTGACTGTGGAGGTGGTGTTGTGAGTTCACCTTCAGGTGGTGAGTGGTGAAGTATCTAACATAGTTCTCTCTTACTGATGAAGTAAATGCTGGTAACATTGATTATTTTGCAAATCCTGTATTTCCTCCCGCCTTCATGATTCCACTGTCTTCAGAGTCTGTCTCTGTAATTGTCTGACAGGAGAGGCAAAACGTCCTCCAAGGACATCCTTCTGGGCTTGTCAGAGGGCAGACGAGCCTCCTGTGGTCTTCTGGAAAGGTATTTGGAAGCCAGGCCAGCCTTAAAGCTTAGACGCTCGCCTGGCACAGCAGGTTGTTTGTCTTTCTCATCATCTCATGGGCATTTAGTGTTTGAAGAAGTAGCTTTAAGGAGTTAGCCAGCCTTTGTTCACAGCAGAGCCTGGGCTCTGTCCCAGACAGGCTTGGGGAGGAACCAGAGCCTGCTGTGGGGAAGGCGACTTGAACTTGGGGTTCGCTTGGCCTTTAGAGTGAACTCCGGTGCAAGTGTCATTGGTAACCTTACTTTATGAGTAAGCGAATAATCAAATTACATTTCTGTAAGAACTGTTTTATTACTGCGGCACTTTGATAAAGCAGAGTCTCTGTGTACTTTATGCCAGGATACTCCTATCGCGGAAATCTCCGGCCGAGAGCAAATCCAACTCCCTCATGTAAGTGCCTGTTCAGAAACTTAAAAGAATAAAGTAAAATAAAAGTAAAAAAAGCCAAATATTTTCATGGTCACTTGCATGTTGTAATCCTGGGAACGACGATTTTGAAAAACCTGATTGTATTTAACCAGCCTCAGATTGCGAACCATGTTGTACGGAGCGGGGGGAGCCCTCCTGAGCTGCGATTTGAACTATTAAACAGCTGCATTCTCACTAAACGCGGGTTGTGTCTGTGTTTGGCGGGCTGTGCCCTCCCTGAGGGCGCGGGGGGCGGAGCGGCGCACGCGCGGGGCGGGGCGGGCGCGCGGCGGTGACGCAGTTGGTGCGCGCGCCGCCGCCGCCGCCCTTGCCCGCGGATGAGTCGGTGCGCGTGGCCGCTGCTGCGGCGGCTCCCGGCGCGCGCGGGGCTCGCGCTCGGGCATGGCCGCCCCGCCGCGGCCGCGCTCTCAGCGCCCTCAGCGCCCTCCTCGTCGTCCTCGTCCTCCTCCGGCGACGGCGCCTCCCGCGCCCCCGACACCTCGCTCTTCGTGCCCGTGCCGCTGAAGCCTGGCGGCGCGGCGGGGGAGGACGTAGGGGCCGAGCTCACGCGACCGCTCGACAAGGGTGAGTGCGGGAGGGACCGTGAGGGGACGGGCGGTTATCGGGCACCGGCCGGGAGGCCTCGCCAGCCCTGGAGGCGGGGGGTGAAGAGACCGCACCTCGAGGGCCGTGTCCAGTCCTGGGCCTCTCAGTTCAGGAAGGACATGGAGGGCCTGGAGCGAGTCTAGGGAAGGGAACCGAGCTGAGGAAGGGGCTGGACAAGCAGGAACGGTTGAGGGAGCTGGGGGGGCTCAGCCTGGAGAAAAGGAGGCTCAGGGAGGACTTTCTCGCTTTCTGCAACTCCCTGACAGGAGGGGGGAGCCGGAGGGGGTCGGGCTCTGCTCCCAGGGAACAAGGGACAGGAGGAGAGAAAACAGCCTCAAGCTGCGCCAGGGGAGGGTCAGGTGGGACATCAGGAGGGTGATTTGACACTGGAAGGGGCTGCCCAGGTTGGTGGTGGAGTCCCCATCCCTGGAGGTGTTTAAGGACAGGCTGCACGTGGCCACAGTTTAGTTGGCGTGGTGGTGTGTTGGGCATAGATTGGACTGTGATTTCGGAGGGCTTTTCCAACCTCATTGGTTTGTTTCCGTGACTCTCCTGAGTCCTGCAGGGCTCGGTCCTTCCGAGGGGAACTGTCCCTCGCTGCTCTTAGGTCCTTTCCTGGGGTTTATCCCTTGGGAGCAGGGGTCTCCCTGCGGATTGTCTGACCAGTGCAGCTACTCGTGCCCGCCAAAGAGAAGTGGGATAAAGCCTGTGGAGTGAGGTAACACCACCGGTACTGGGGCTTTACTGGACACCTTGTGGGGCTGGCCTGGGCAGGGCCAAGGGCTAGACTTTGATGATCCTCGTGGGTCCCTTTGAGCTCAGAATGTTGTGGGATTTCCCAGGGCTATCAGCTGTACTCTGTGTGGAGGGAACAGTCTGCTGGCCTGGCTCCTCCACTCCCTGTTTTTGTGCTAAGGGTGCTCAGCGTGGGACACGTCCTGCAGCTGAACTGCAGATTTGTGGTGTTCCAGAACCATGACTGGATCTGAACTTGGAAATCATAGTTTTTTCAAATATTGGTGTTACAGAAGGGCATCTTCTTGTTTGTGAATGTGCCGAGATAAAAAGGGACAAAGTGTAGTGACGGGGCAAATGGCTTCAGACTGCCAGAGGGCAAGATTAGATTGAATGTTAGGAAAAAATTCTCTGTGAGGAAGGGTGGTGAGGGCCTGGCACAGGTTACCCAGAGAAGCTGTGGCTGCTCCATCCCTGGAAGTGTCCAAGGCCAGGTTGGACGGGACTTGGAAGGTGTCCTTGCTCATGGCAGGATGAAGATGATCATTAAGGTCCCTTCCAGCCCAAACCAGTCTGTGATTCTATGACTCTAATTTCGAAAGACTTGATAAATAAGAAACAAGTTCTTGATCCTTTTGATGTTTGGTGATCCCAAAGCATTGAGGGTGTAAATGGGAACTTTTTGCTTCATGTTTTCTCCTAATTAAGTGTTCTGATGGCATATTATTAACTCCAAAGTATAGAAAGCATGGGAAAAGGATAGAAAGCATGATCTTAATTGTTCAGAGCTGTGGAGAAAAGAATATCTGGCCCAGAAAGCTATAAAAAAACTATCTAGGTAAAGAATCCTCGACAGCTGAAATGCTGAAATCTGCGTTGTTGTCAAACTTGCCTTATATATGAGTAATGCATTTCTCAGGTGCCGGGAAATATAAATGGTGCCGTCTTACTTGTATATTCCTTGTTGTTCCACTTATCAGAGAAGCAGTTATGCTGGATTTCTTCAAAGCCACAACTGAAATGCTCTGGGAGAATAAGCACAGATTCTATTTGTTCTCTGCTGAGTTGCTGAGAGAGAACAGAGTGGTTAAAATTATATATTCCCCCAGGTGAAAATTAACTACTTTAAAGAGCCTGAAGTTCTTCTGTGTGAGACTTGGAAGGAAAGCCAGCCAGGTGACCAGTGTGGTGCTGCTCATCTGCTTGTTGAACTGTAGTGCTCTCTCTGTTGCTGTCAGCAGTTCTGTATTTTGAAACCCGATAATGTTAAAGAGAAAACTGAGCAAGACCTTCCTCAGCAGATACGTGTTTTTTAAGATGAAATAAGTATTCCTCTGCTTCCCCCCTCAGGCTCTGACCACACACAGGGCATATTTGTGCAAAATACCAAAAAAACAGATGCACAGCATCTGTTTTTTTGGTATTTTGCACAAACGTGCTCTGTTATATTCTTCTGTCAGGTACTGAACTAGATTTAATAAGGAAATGTGTGTATTTGCAGCCTTTCTGAGCTCGTGAAGGGGCTTTGTTACTGACACCTGAGTGTAATTCCAGTGTGAATCATCTTGTAGTTACTGCTCAAGTGAGAGTGGTCGTGGTTTTCATGCTAATCAGCCACTGTCAGGAAGACATAAGCCTTTCTTGAAGCTTACTTTTGCAAAGTCAGTTGTGAAAAACCTTTGTAACAAATCTGGAATTAATTCACTACGTCTGTTTTCCACGGCTTCATAGGAAGTGTACCCCTGTGAGTGCTGATAGATGCTTTCAATTTTGGTGTAAACAGGGCTGAAACTTCTAAATGGATCTGATACCTCAGAGCCTACCTGTGTTTCTGAACCTATCTGCAGTCAGCCTGGCCTTTTACACAGGACCTTAAAAGTGCTGCTGAGAAGTCAAAGTGATTGAGGAGTAAGAGCTAAAGCACAGTTCTAGAATGAGAAAATGGTAAAGAAAGGGAAAACTTAGACAGGGATGAATGGTAAGGGTGGTGGTTGAGGCAGGACTGAGTGTGTACCCTGATTGCTGCCTGCATGTGCAGCTGGGTTAGGCTCACATGGGCTGCAGTGCCAGCTTTGGTTTGTTTTGATTTCCCTTATTGTTAAGCCAAGTGTTTGTGCTTAGGCAGGATCATGACCTTGGATGTCGAGGGCTGGGATGGTCCCAATGTCACGTTGCCTTGGATAGTAACAAGTGTTTAGGCATTGACCTTTCCATCTGTAGTAAGGCCAGTGGGCTGTGAATTTAGCTCTGTGGCTGATGATGTGGTGACTGTTAGAGTTTTTAGGGAAGCTCTGAAGAGAATTTAGCCCTGTGCTTTCTTGTAGTGCACTGTTTTCCAATCTGCCTTTGATTTTGGGGCCCTTAAATATTTCCTGATGAGAGTGTGGATACCTGTGTAGGAATTGCAGTCCTACTGGTACCCTTGCTTGATTGCCTTTGGGAACATTTTGGACTGTGAATGAAGCCAGCAGGAGATCCCTGTAGCCATGCACGGGGTATGGGGTTGTAGCTGCTGCCCTTGTGCACCCCAATTTGCCATATTCTTGTCCCCTGTTGATTTTCATGATGCCAAGGGGACTGTCTTTGTTACACAGTGTTTTAGAAAGACAATGTTTCAGTGATTTAAGGTTGATCTTGTGGGAAGCTGTTCATGTTGTGGCAGTTACAGAGTTAGTGGTAGAGAGCAGAGCTTGACAGTGTTCAGTGACTTGTGCTGGCCAACCAGGCACGTGTTGCATTATTATTATCATTCCTAGCATTTCATAAACAGGATTCCTATACTTGAGTTTTAGAGTAAGGTAAATTTGTGAATAGGTGTTTGTGATATTTGCTAGATTTTCGTGAGTTTCTGTAGATGGAGGAGGGACACATTTTGCCACGGATTTAACTAGCATTTAATGAACTAAATTCACAGTGTCTGTGAGTAAATACAATTTCATTGCAACACTGAACTTTTAGGGGAGGGAAAGGGTTTATTAATAGCTTTATAAGAGAATTTATATGAAGAAAGCTGAGTAATTTGTGATATATATGAAGAAACTCTGTCAAGTTTTCTTCTTCTCTCCTTTATTTAACCTGAGAAAAGGAAGAATACTGGATCTGGTTTAACTGATCTTTCTGGAGAGTCTCTTGGAAGCAGGGCCGGGGGAAGAAGGTACATCAGGATGTTTAGTCACCGAGTAGTTTCACATGGGAGCCTGCTGTGTCCTGAGAGGTTCTGATAAAAAGCAAAAATAACCCACCCCAAAACATGAATTAGTTTGTTCTGTAACACATTGGCTGTAGGTTCCCACCTTTATCCTTTCTTATCAAGTACCAAGGGAGAGTGTCTCAAATGCTGCCCTCATCTTCATGGCACTTCTTCCTCTGCTGCAGTTGAAGCTGGTTCTTCTCCACAGTAGTGTCAATCACTGATTGTGTTTAATTCAGGGACAATTCATTTGAGTCTGTTCAGCATGGTGAGATTCTCTCTCCAGAGAAAGGAGATGATAAACCAGGGCCTTTGGACCAGCGGAATGGGATTTAATTCTAAGCAAACTAAAAAAATGTTACTATTTTTATACAGGTGAAGTTCTAAAAAATTTAAACAAGTTCTACAAAAGAAAAGAAATCCAAAGACTAGGAGCAGAAAATGGATTAGATGGTAAGAACATGTTTCAAGTTTATTTTTAAAGTGAAACCTGTTTTAATTCAGATACAGTATTAGGTAGAGCTCATCTTTTATGGGTCTCACAACACGGCTTGTTTACCTTGTTTCTGTCACTCAGTACAAATAACCTTATATATTTACCTTTAATAGCTTATATTAAGGTGTAGATTTTTAATGGACTGCTTCAGTGTTTTGGTGCATGTTTACAAA